ACCCGCATTCCACTAAATTGTAATATAGTGTTCCAAGAGCGACGCTTTCATCATCGTTGCCCTTCGAGATGACCGATGATGCATCGTTTAATCGACGCTAATGAAGATTACGAGAAGTCGCTGTCTTTAAACGGAATTCAGAATCAGTTTTTCAGAAATTTTATTCAACGTCAAATCTCTCTAGTCCTAGGTACAAAATTTCAAGTAAGTCTCGAATTCTTAAAACAAGATGATAAAACTTTGAATTATCATCGAATTATTATCATCTTACTATCAAAAAATAACTCACTCGTGTCACAGAAATCCTGACATTTTTTTTTTTTTTTATATTCAAGGCAAACTGTTTCTTCGCACAAACCGAATCGCCACTACATTCTTCGCGGAATATTTCGCGGAATTTTTTAATCCGGCTGTCGCTGACCTTGGTCTACGCCAAGTGGGTGACCTTCTGACCTAATCGTCGCTAATTTCATTTGCTAGAAACCTGCCGTCACGGCTGCGAAATCGCGCCTCGTCGCGCGTCCGCTCGCTCGCTTGCGTTTTTTTTTACGCGCCGCAGCATCGGAAAGCTCGCCCGCCTATCTGTCGCGCTCCAAATACCTGTTCGGCTCTACCCACCTGCCGTGATTATGGCTCGTGGCGTCCCACGTAAATCTAGCCGGGGCCCGCGACGGGGGAACCTCGCGCTACCGTCGTGAGAATCCATTTTTCCGCCCGTTGCACTCTCCTTCCGGCTGTCCTCGATCAGAACCCTGTATCGAGCATACAAGAAATTGCAGCCTGCTTCTTTTCTCCTATCGTCTATTTTCCGGGATCGCCGAACGACGGACAGCGGGTCTTTCCCCTCCCCCCCCCCCTCATTACACCTCGAGCGACTTGAAAACCTTTTCATTAACAGTAGGAGGATGCAAAAATATGCAGCACGACGAGGAAGAAACATGAATAGAAGAAAAGTGAATGTAACATGTCGTCATTAATGCATGTTCTCTTATACATTATATTAATAATAATTCGATAGTTTCTTTTTAAAAAAGACTTTTAAGTCGCGTATGAGTGGTAAAGAGAGAGATCCTGAGACATTCTTTAAAAATTCCTCGATACCAAGGCCGGTTACGACGTATTACGACTTTGATAAAACGATTGAATGCAATCTTTTATTGCACGATAACATTATTCCGAATATCACTCTGACTGCTGTTTGAACTATTAAGCGTATTAAACAAAAAAAAAAAAAAAAAAAAAACCAAACCGAAACCTTTAATTACTACGTAACCTTAGTAATAACAATTAATAAAAACAAT